TAAATGTAGAACATTACTCTTTTCACCATTAAATTTCATTTTATTAGATAGTGCCCAATGTCCAACTTTGTCAAGATCCTTCTTTATCTTAAGCCTATCTTCTGGAGTGTTGGCTATTCCTGCCAGCTTGGTGTCATCATCAACAGATTCCTCTTCATGAAGGGTCAACTTAAACTTCTTGTGTGAGGTGAAGGTCATGCTATAAATATGCATGGAACCTGGATCCTGGATTGAATTGAGGGAGTTAAAGGGATAAAATGGCATTTTATATCCCTTTAATCCCTCCAAACCAAAGCCAACTCTTTTGTATTTGTGCATTTTGGAAGGATTCTAGGAGCTCCAGCTGCCACCTAGTTTAGAGCACCAAGTAAGCAAAAATATAGCTTTATTGAGAATGAGCCAATATTTTATAATAACACCAGTGAGGATGAGATGAGCCCACCAAGGTACTGGGATTCCATAAAGGAGATGTCTACTGAAGGCATTTCTCCCCAAATCTAAGCAGCTCCTATAATCAGCAACACTCATACCACTTGTGTGTAACCAAAGATTGCTCGCAGCTGGCAGGAAAATGCAGGTTTTAATTTGGACCTGCCATAAGCAGATGGTTTCATGCCTCACCAGGCTGCTGATGGGATGTCCAAATATTACTGTTATGGTATTAGCCTATTTGTTTTATAGATCCTCCTATAGGAATGAAATGTATGTATATATTTCATACATCATCTTCAGCAGGGGTTCTTTCTTCCCATAGGTTTCTAGGGCTTTCTATGGTCTCTCTGGGATGGTTACACCTCTGTCCTTTTCTGAACAACTGAGTTGAATGCTGGGATAATAAAAGCATTGATTATTTCCAGAAGATGGACACAAGCAGAACTGGGAAGTACCACTTAATATCAAAGAAGGGGAGCTCTGGTATTCTCTCTGCTTGTAGGTCACCAATTGTCTAGGTCTCCCCCACCCCAAAATTAAGTTTATACATCACACTAAGTTTCCTTCATTTTGGCGTACCATGTTATATGAACTCACTCACTGTACTTTGTAAATCATAATTTACAACAGCATATGGGGGACCCCACCCAATTCTTGCTTATTCAATTAACCATGGTTAATCAAACAATGCTTCTTGTCCTCTGCAGACACAATCAGAACTCAATCTCTTGATCTGTGCTTGAAACACTAGGGAGCACAACAAGGCAAGTTTATGACTTGCAAAATCCCTTTAAATCCCACTCATTTGAAAGAGCCTTAGCAACCTGTTTGTTCTCATCTGCAGAGAAATAGGGAAACACCATTAATTTGTCCAGAATTGGTTATTGAGGGGGCAAATGTGCAAGAAACGGATGAGGAAGGTATGCATCAGCAAAACCAGGAATAGGTAAACCTTGGGAAGACCTATCGTTTCGATGTGATCTATCCCCTCTGCTCGACTAAAAATACCAACCCTCTCCAAGCTTAGCGACTCCGTTCTTATTCACACCCCACTCCTTCCACCCGCACCTTCTCCTCCCTGGCCCCCACGATGTTGCGGGAAGCTGTAAATCAGGGGGCTTGTTGCTGTTCGATCCCCCCCTCCCCTCGCTTCTTCTCCTCCCCTGGAAAAACCAACCACTCGGCTTCACATTGTCAGCAGGAGTAGCTGCGAAATAAGCCGCGAGACGGAGGTGGGTCTTCTGGGCGGAGATGGGAAGCCGTTGACCTCCGCCAATTTCAGCCTAGGATGGGCTGTTTGCAATGCTCGGGACCGAGGAACCACCTCGTCAGCAAGCTGCGACTTTCGGTGGGGCTGCAGGAAAGATACTGCGCGGGGTTTGTTGCCGGACGCCATGCAGAAGCCGCCGCCGCCATCCCCGCTGCTGTTACTACAGGATACCTGAAGTGACCCTCCAAAATTGCAGCCTACTCCCTGACGGATCTGCTGGCTTCCTCCAACTCTCGCCCCCCGCCCCTAGAGGACCAAGGCAATAAATATCCGCCACCAAAGAGGTTAGTGAACTACAACACCCCGCTCCCTCCGCGTAGAACTCCTGTTCTACATCCCGGGACCACAGGGGTGGGTGGGTGGGAGGGGAGGGGGAAACCTCGCGGAAGCTCTGTTTTCGGTACCGAAGGCTGTCAAATGAACGGCCCCAATCCCTTCACTAGATTGGGGCGTTTCTGGGGCACGGATTCCCCGCATCGCCAATGTCAGGGAGAGGCTGCTGCTCCCAGTTCGGGGGGAGGGGGCTGTAGCGAGGGGCTCTTGGATGGACCCGGAATTCGGGAAAGGTGCCTTTCGGGTAGGTGTTCGGGTTTCCTGCTGCCGTTTCCGCCCAGCCACCCTGCTAGAACTTAAATCTGCAAAACAATATTAGGGGAGGGGGGAGAGAGAGAGGTGGGGTTCTATCCCCGCCCCCAAATCGGGTGCCTGTGATGGGCGGGGGGCTTAGAACTTCCGATGCAGCCAATCATAACGCCCAGGGCAGTGAATGGCAAAGGGTGAGGAGTTTGAGGGTGGGGGGGAGAGGCTGAAATTTGCAACCTGCTCAGCCTCCGCTTGGCGCCCCTTAGGACTTACTAAGAGCTTCCACTTTTCGCCACCGCTGCAGCAACCATCCCGGCGGACCCGATTTCCCTTGCGGCGACACTCCTCTCGCGCCTTCTGCAGGCATGGAGAGACAGACCCTTACGGGGATTTTTATTTTATTTTATTTTGCAGAAAAAAAACCCACTTGATTCTCTCCTTTGTAATTGTCTACTTTTGTTGCAGATTCTGGAGGGAGCCAGGCATGGTGGATCCGGTAGCGGATCCTGGCAAGGAAACATGCCCCGATCCCGGGGGTGCCGCGGGGGGAGAAGATTCTGCGGCAGCCGCTACCTCCGCCACGACCGAGGCTGCAGTTCAGCCGCCCGCCCCCCCGCCGGCAGCGGCGCCTCCTCGAATCGGAGAGCCAGAGAAAATTCGCGAAGAGTCGCCGATGCTGCACCTGGATCTGTACAACTTCGACTGCCCGGAAGCCGAAGGCAGCCGCTACGTGCTCACCAGTCCCCGCTCCCTTGAAGCCTGCGCTCGAAGTGCCGTCAAGCCGGTGGAGCTGCTGCCCCGGCCGCTCAGCGAGCTGATCAAGGAGGCCCCCGGCAGGTCTATGCGCGTCGCCGCCGGCCTCTATGAGGCCTACGAGATGGATCGGCAGAGGAAGCTGCAGCAGTGCCGGGAGGAGAGGGAAAGGATAATCCGAGAGGAGAAGCGGAGGCTTTTCATGCCTGTCCTGACCGGAAGCCTGCCTTCCTCCCCAGCTTCCAGGACGGCCTCTAAAAGCACCCTGCCCGATGGAAGTTGCCCTCCAAGTGGCAAGCCGAAAACGGCTGGAGGCCACCCACCTCCCCCTCTGAGTGGCCCCAAGACCAAGAAAAGCCACTCGCTGGATTCCCTGCAAAAGAGGAGAGAGGGCTTCTCCACCAAGACCTCCTCTGACTCGGGCGCCTCTTCTTCCTACAGCGGAGATAGTGGCAAGGACAAATGGACCCAGGGCTTGCCTAGGACTAAGAACGTGGCCACCATGACCTCCTTGGTGGGCCGCAGTTTCAGCCTGAGTGACCTCAGCCACTCCCCGCAAACCACCCAGAAAGTGGAGAGGATTGTCAGAGAAGTGAGGCAGAAGAAAGGTTTCAAGGAGGTGTCTGACAGGGACCGAAAAATTGCTGCCCTGATGATAGCCAAGCACCAAGAGGAGAACCTGTGGAAGGAGCAGCGGTACACTGCCCACCTCCAGTGGGATGTGCAGAGAAGGGTGGTGGAGCAGAGGAGGGAGCTGGAGGAGCGGGAAAAGCAGCTCGCTTTGGTGCAGGGCCGCCGGATGTGGGAAACCCGGCTGGAGAAGCGACGTGACAGGCTGACCCATACCTGGGACGAGGCTGTTCAGATGAAGCAAAGGCAGACCTTGATGGAGGATGAGAAGTGGCGGGAGCACATGGAAAAGCAGGAGCGCCTGAAGAGAAACAGGCTGGGGAAAGCTGCTCTGGAGGACAAGAAGAGGAAACGCCACCAAGAGCACAACCTGAAGGCTCAGGAAGAAAACAAGAAAGAAGTCCAGGTGCGAGAGGTGCAGCTGCTGCAAGAAAAGCTCACCTTGGCAGCCCAGAAGAAGCTTTTGAAGGAACAGCTGATACAAAAAGAGAAGAAGCTGCTCAATCAAGCTGACAAGCAGAAACACGAGACCATTCTCAAGGGTCTGGCTAAGCAGGAGGCCGAAGAGCGGGCAGTGCTGAGGGCAGCCATGGAAGGGAGCTTGAGCAAAGCTCAAGAGAAGTATGAGCAGCTCATTGAGAAGAGGAACCAGGAACTGAAAGAGAGAGGCAAGCGGGAAGATCTGCAGATCCAGAGAGCCAAGCTGGCAGCAGAACGCAAAGACCGGGAGCAAAAGGAGCACTTAAGAGCCTTGGCCCAAGCATCTGAGAGGAAGCTGCAACATGCTGCTCAGGTGGTCGAGGAAGTTGCCCAGCAGAAAGCTCGAAAGGTGGTGCAGAACCGGCTGGAAAAGGAGAAGATGCACAAAGTAAACAAGAAGAAAGTCGACGAGTGTGAAGATATCCGCCGGAGGGAGATCCTGTTGTCTATTGAGAAAAAGCTGGAGCGAAGTGAACAGATTTGTAAGGAGAAAAAAAATGTCTTGGAAAGCGCAAAGTCTGTGGCTCGGGCATCCTTCCACGTGAGGGAAAAAGTCCGGGAAGAGATGAACATGCGTACTTTTGACAAGATGGCCTTTGAGGCAGAACTGCAGGCCACCCTAGTTAAAAAATAAATTGTCTTTTTTGTTTGGGATTCGGTGGGGATTTCTGTTTTGCTGCCTATTGTCAGAATTGGGAGATTTTTTTAAAAAAAAAAACTTCATTATTTTGTGGAGCACAAAAACTCAGGCATATACTTCATAGACCTTTTTCAAATGCTCTTGTTATACATATTCAAAAAGCTATTTCAACTGTCTATAGAAAGAAAATATGAATCCCTCCCTCTGTTGACTAAAATACTGTTTTCATGGAATAAAATCAAGATACATACATTTTATATAATAGAAATTTGTTCCCCTCCTCAAGGGCCAGTTCGGTTCCCTCAAGTTCAGAGGAAGTATTATCATATTGATATAGCTGGGTCTTAATTTGAATGTCACTCGGCAATGGAACTTTTGGTCTCTTGTATGTGTCCATATTTGAAAAGAATTTATCTGGCCCATGTGGTGCACTTTATTTATCCTTACTGTTGGAAACTCTAGGCCTTGTAACATTTTACTAACAAACTGAAGTTCTGATTCATGACATGAAAGCATGTGGAAAAACTTGTTCCAATAAAATTGCAAACGCGTAGAAAGTCATTTACACAGTCCCTTTCATTGACTATTATTTATTTTATGTATTAATCCATCTAATATGGCTATCCGTCTCTCCAAAGAAATTCTGGGTAACAGGAAAAAACAAGGCTTTCCATTAAAACCAAATGAAAGCAAAACAAGTGAAGGTCCAATTTCCATAATCACCAGTCACGTGGACCAATGCCAGACTCCCATAATTAATATACTGGCTTCAATATCTGGAGGAAGACCCAGATCTTCATAGTCTACATTTCTCAAGATTCACAATGAAAAGAGTAGGCCTTACATATATTGATGAGCCATGATGACACAGCAGTTAGAGTGCAGTATTGCAGGCTACTTCTGCGGACTGCCAGCTGCCTGCAATTTGGCAGTTTAAATCTCACCAGGCTCAAGGTTGACTCAGCCTTCCACCCTTCCAAGATGGGTAAAAGGAGGACCCAGATTGTTGTGGGCAATAAGCTGACTTTGTAAATTGCTTAGAGAGTGCTGTAAAGCACTGTAAAGTGGGATATAAGTCTAAGTGCTATTGCTATTGCTATATTATCAGTAATGATATATGCAAATAATTATGCCAAACTTGTTAGGTCAACTTGAAAACATCATCTTGCTGCATTCAAATGTGTTCTAAGTATAATGTACTTGCATAATAAAAGGATATTTTTGGATAAAAAAATAAGTATAACACTACAGAGAAAGGTCTATGAAAATCCTATAGATTAATAATATACATTCATCAGCTTAACCCTGTATAATTGATGCACCTGTCTGTCAAGGATGTCTCAGTTGATGCTAATAACAAAATTTACTAACATGTTTTGGAATCAGTATGTTTTGTAATATACCTGCTCAACAGGCAAGCACATTTTATTAATTGTGGAATAACTTTAATGATGTATAACCCCATGAGAATTCTGTGCAGAAATAAATCACATTTATTCTCTGCTTAGCTGTTAAAATCTCGCTATGCAAGTGGTATCTTATAAGTCTGTGGTTTAGAAGATGTTTGCTTTAAAAGCTCCAGAGCGGACCCTATTTTTAAATAGGGCAATGATTTAGGCAGCAGATGCTGGAAGTGAGGTGAGAAAGAATTAGCATTGAAGTAATGGAAAACGGCTGGTTGGGTTATGTGGAAGCAAGATATACTGTTCTCCTGCTGCCAGTGTGAAAGTAATCGCCAGCTGCCAGTCCCATTGGCATCTGTATATGGATATGGCAAGATAATATGATCTTGCCTTGGATTTAAAGATAACTATCAAGGTATAGTATTAAAAATAGCTATTATGAAACAATGTTGCAAGCAACATTCCCTTTAAATTTTGACAGGTGTATCAAAAATGTCTGCCCTTCTAAGCAAACAGAATTTTCTCGGTCATGAGCCCATACCTTGAGATTATATGCCAGATACCCTTTGTAAAAAGTAGGCATCTTGAATGAAATATTCAAATATTGAAATATTTTTATTGTGTTGCTTAAAGGTTATGATAGTCATGATATGGCATTTGATAGTATCCACACAAAATTGCTGGGTTTTAGAATGTGTAAACTTGCAAATTTGCTGAGCGTATTCAGAATAATCATGATTACAAAAGGCAGATTTACTTGGAGTATTTTATATCCTGTGACAATATCTTCAACACCATCAAACAACAGTATTTGCTTATCCCAGGTAATTGGGAAAGACTCCTTAGATGGATCAAAATGCCAAATCCAGTCTAAATATCTGGCTGACTATTCAGTGAACTGTAGTGGATAACGTTTACTGGTTTTAAATTCCTAAACTTATTATAAGCGCATATTACCTGCTGGAAACTGCATTCTGATGCAGGAACAAGTTATTAAGCAATCAAAAACAAATCCTGTAAACTGCGTTGACTAACAACTTTAATTCAATTTAAATGTTAAGCCAAATTCTATTGAAGAGTGGTCCTTCAATATGCCAGTAAAGACCAAGAGAAGCCTTATATTGAAAAAAAGAAGTATTTCTTAAAACATGACATTCTAGCTGGTCAAAATATTGTAAGTTCTTACAAATGTACAGTATAAATAAAATCTGATTGGGCACTTGGAAGTCAAGACTATTGTAGAGTTTTCTATTTCAACTTCCTGTTGTCCAGATATATTGACTTCATTTTCCAAAATACCTAGTCAGTATGAGAAACACACAATAGTTGAGAATTATGAGAGCTGAAGTCTAATTTACCCAGAAGGCACCATGCTACAAAAAAAGCAGCATTATTTTATAGAAGAAATTCTGTTACAGGTAGGCAAAATTTCATTCACAGGAAGGCTGCATCCATGGAAAGAGTTTGTTGGCTTCCCTCGTGTGCTCTTTCATCTATCTACAACTAAAACTTCTGTGTGTTTGATATTTTGCTTTTGGGACAACCTGACCCACCCCCACCCCATATGGTCACCCTTGAACCTGCCATATTGACTTAGAAAGCCAGTCAAGATCTGGCTCTTTTCCCAGGTTGTGTGGTCTGGATGTGGTCCCAGATGGTTGAGTAGCATATTTTAATCTGGTCGCTATGTTATAGTTTACTGTATTAGTTGTCTTTTAATGGATTAATTATTATTATTTTGCTTAGATTGGGTTTATGGTGATTTCACATTGAAACTAAATGCATATTATATTTTTCTTTCATTTTTTATTGTTCCTTTGTTTCTTTGAGTTTAGGATCATATGGTGCCTATTTTAGTGTCATGTACCATGTTTTATCAACTGCCCCTCCTGAATGGCATTGATGCTGGCAGAATGTAAAATGATTACTAAATTAATCATCCTAGCTGATGTAACCTCCCCCACAGAGACATCCAGATTATTTCCATTCTCTTATTTTGCCATCTGCTTTGTGAAGCTATGCAGGGCAGTCAAAGCTTAATATTGAGGGTTTTCAATAGATTCTTTATTCCTTGTTGATTTCCCCCCTTCTTCCTACCTATCATCCAGAGTCACTTTGTTTGTATTAAGTGGCCATATTAAACAAAAATCCATATTTTATGAATATTGTTTAACATTACATTTACGTTTTTTAACTATTACAGTTCTTTCCAAAGTTGCATTAACTTACATGAATATAATATGAAATCCAAACTAATTTGATAAGAACCATTTAAAGTGCTCCTAAGTTGCTTACAATGCCAGGACAAAATATCTGATGTTCATATTTTTTTTTTTTTTGCCAAACACGCACACACATATTAGTTTTTATCTTGCAGTGAGAAAAGCATGCTATGCCACGCAAGGCCTTTAGGCGATATATCCATCCAGCCTTTGGCTTCTTTTCTGAAACAAACAATGATTAGTTTCCAATAAATAATGATGGCAGGTACAAGCGCACATACACAGGCAGCTCCATTTGTGTGAGCGTTGGACATGAGTATATGCTGCTTGCACAATTGGAGATGTGCATGCATGTGCTGCTTGTGCAAGTGGAGCTACACATATGTTCGCCCAGCACTTGCACAGCCAGGGGGTTGGGGATGCCTGATTTATTCATTTAAACTGACAAATCTTTGACCCAAAGAACTAAAAGATAACATTCGCCAATAGGAAAAATAACTCCGCCAACTCTGAATGATGATTTATTGGTTTCATTTTGAATTTCTTGTCTCTTTATAGAGCATTTTTCTTAGGTGTCATATACTTTGTGCATATACTCATTACCACAGCAGCAGCAAATATCCTTTATGATAGATGTCCTGCAATTTCAGAGAAAGGAAATATAACAGACTCAATAAGTATAAGTATAATCTTTATTGTCATTGTACTTAAATACAACGAAATTGTACAATGCAGGTAGTCCTCAAGTTACAACCACAATTGCGCCCAACATGTATGTTGCTAAGGGAAACATTTGTTAAGTGAGTTTGTCCCATTCTGCAATTGTCCTTGCCACAGTTGTTTAGTGAATCATTGCATTTATTAAATTAGTAACATGGTTACTAAGTGAATCTGGATTCTCCATTGACTTTGGTTGTCAGAAGGTCGCAAAAGGGGATCACGTGACCCTCGGGATACAGCAACCGTCATAAATATGAAGCAGTTGCCAAGTGTCTGAATTTGGATCAGGTGACCAAAGGGATGCTGCAGCGGTTGTAAGTGTGAAAAACAGTCATAGGTCACTTGTGCCGTTATACCTTTGAATGGTCACTAAATGAACTGTTGTAAGTCGAGGACTATTTGTATAGGATAGTAACACTCGTTGTCCTGTGCACAAAGCAGGTGGTGAAATGAGTATGAAAATAATCTGGATGCTCCATTTAGAAGTCTTGGGGTGGGGTGGGAAACAAACATCCATTAGAATGTTTAATTTATTATTTTATATTGTGTCAACGTTAAAGCCATGTTGGGGGAGAGTTAATACAAAATGGATAATATTAAAGTACAGGTTGGGGCCATGAGATTTTTCACGCATTGCTGATCTCTAATTCCCAGGATCCCTCATTAAAAGAAGTTTCCAAAGAACCATGAGTCCTTTCCGTCTCCTGTATCTTGCAACTTACAACAACCGTTAATGTTATGCACTTTTGATTAGATTAGAGCAGGGGTGTCAAACTCAAGGCCTGCAGGCCGGATTTGGCCTGTGGGGTGCTTAGATCTGACCTGTGGGGCTGCAGTGAAGAACTGGCTCACGGTGTCTCTGCCAGTGAAAACAGAGCTCCATTTTCTCTGGCAGAGGGCTGCAGGAAGCTGTTGTGGCTGAAAACGGAGCCCAGGAGGGCCATGTGCAGTCTCCTTGAGCTCCATTTTTGCTGCAGAAGGCTGCAGGAGGCAGCCCCAGCTAAAAATGGAGCCTTAATGAGTGACGGCAAGATGGCCACACCAACCCAGCCCTCCAGAGCAGTGGTCCCCAACCTTTTTATCGCCGCGGACCAGTCAGCCTTTGATAATTTTACCGTGGCCCGCTGAGCGC